GGCAGTAAGATCACTTGAACCTGAGGGTTTGTGGCTGCAGTAGTTATGATCATGCCACTGTACTCTAGCCTGGGCAACAGAGCAAGACTCTGTCTCTAGGGCGGGTGCCTGTGGCTCAAGGAGTAGGGCCCCGGTTCCATATACCAGAGGTGGTGGGTTCAAACCCAGCCCTGGCCAAAAAACTGCAAAAGAAAAAAGACCCTGTCTCTAAAAAATAAATTAATTAATTAAAACCCCTTTCCTATTCGATTACAAACCACATTCAAAAAATTAAATTCTATACTACTAAAAAAAATGGAGTTTTCACCTCACAAACTGAACATAATTTAAAAGGACAGCTTTCATAAGATTATAAACAATTTGCACCATAAAGAAAGCACAGAGAAAGTCAGGTCTGAGACCTAGGAAGTTGAATAAAAAGCAGAAGCACCTATGTCTGTCATTCTCCCCACTTGTACTAATTGTGGCAGTATGTTTTATGATATTCTGCTGACTAGGTTCTCCAAACCTCAGTGAAAGTGAGATATAAATAAATTTACATTTTAATTTAAAGTGAAGGATATAGAGCAGAGAGATAGAATTTGATGGAAAGGCTTCATGGAGGAAAAGCAATGTTCATTTCTCTCTGCTACTCTGTGACTTGCCCTCATTGTGTGGGAATTGGGACCAATGGTTAGGAGAACAGGGTATGCTTTGAGAATTTAGCAAAACAGAGTCAAAGACATTGTGTGTGGGAGAGCAGATATGCTAGATTTTATATTGTTTAGAATCAGATATTTCAAGTTAATAGAAAATTCTTTATGTCAGAGGAAATAGTGCCCAAATTTTCAAATATTCTAGCTATGTAAATATTCAGGGAGAAATCAGTGTAAACATCATAGATAATTCACAGGAGGCAATGTATATTATTGTTATTTTCACAAATGTTTTCTTAAGAAAAATCCTAGAAAATGAAGTTAGCCATAGAATCACTGGATACTTTGCTAAACATACCCCACAGAAATATTCCAAATCTGTAAAAGTTTTACTGCTTTATTCCTATCTCTTTAAGTAGAAAAACTTCTCTTCTTTACAACCTATGTGTCAGATAATGCAAAACTCAGATATGCACTTCACTGAGAGGCCATCTCTTTATTGATGATAAAGAGAAAAAAAAGCTATGGATAGTAATGCTGTGGTTTATCACATGCTATACAAAACTAATATAAACTTCCTTTTTTTGATCCACATAATTAAATTATAAACAAATTGCAAAATCCAGACAATAAGAATGGCTCCCCTAATCATTCCTCTTTGCTTGATTTCACTGGGAAACTAGCCTAGTGCCTCCCTCTCAGGAGTCCTTGGGCCCCTGTTATTAGCCCAAAATCTTAGATTAGATAAGTTAACTTTCTTTCATTGACCATGACTTTATAGTGAATAGTATATAGGCATTCTGTCTACGTAGTTCCACGTGAGAGAAAGGAAAAATGAATGTTTAGAATAATGGTGAAGGAGCTCAGGGAATTGTACCTCAAAATATGACTCCTTAGCATAAAGAGTAGTTTGAATCAAAAGCCCTTAGAAATCAAGAAGCATTGGAATGGGCTCCCCCTCTATCTGCACAAAACCAGGTGGACCCATCAAAGAGAACAGTTAATTGCCTTTCCTTCCCCTCCCTGTTATCTCAATATATTGCAAGAAATCATATCAAGAATACAACCAGACCAGGTCTAACCCATTTTAAAGAAATACCTGCATCTCTGGTTAATTTCCAAAGAGAATCATTTACAAGCCAGTCTGTTTCCCCTATCCATTCATTCTTCCATGTATACATTTATCTTTCCTAATAACCATTTATTGCCCCTGAACAGAATTACCTATATTCCTAATCTCTCCCTTCTTTTTAAGAGGGCATATAAACTTCTAGACCCCATTGAAATATTGGGTAATCACTCTGTGATTCTCCCCATGTGCATGGCAAATAAATTTATCATCTCTTTCTCATTACAAATAAAAATAAATGGTAAATCATAAATATTGCTTTTTTAAGTGTTTCTATTCAAAACCTACAATTTTGAATAGAAAATGTTATTCTAATTTAGTACTAAATAATCTTGAAGCTTTGAAAATCTTGTGATTTTGAGCATCCATAAGGAAGTATTATATTAGGAGTATAAACAACTTTATATATTGTTTTCTTTAGGTACTTATGAGAATGTCTTTAGTCATAGAATAGAAACCTTTTGGGCAGTGTTTTGAGTCAATTCAGTGAATATGTAGTAGCTACTGGGGTGGGATAGAAGTTGTAACTTTAATAAGATGCAATGACCAGAAACTTACAATCTTCTGAAGGACATATATGATCATTATAAAGTGGTTTGCAGCTTATTTATCTCATAATCAAAAACCTGGAGGCAGGTCATCCAGAGCTAGTACAGCAGCTCTACTTTTCATCAGAAACTTGGGCCCTTTTTTATCTTCTCATATTTCTAACCCTGTGTTTGTTTGCATCCTTATGGTTGAAAAATGGCTACAGTACCTCCCAGTATCCATTCTGTTCCAGGTTGAAAGAAGGTAGAACTCTAAGGCAAAAAATATTTTCCTCTTAAAGCCTCTTTATCTCCTTATCATTTTATGTGTAATAGGAAGCCTGCCACAGGGACTTCTTCCTGTATTTCACTGGCCAGAATATATCATAAGGCCACTTCTGGCTGCAAAGTAGCTAGAGAAGGAGATTGTGGATAGCACTTAGTGCTGCCGAGCAACAATGTTAGCAGGTACTCCTTTTTCTGTTTACCTATCCCAAGGAAAAGGCCATGTTATTTATGCATGAAGATATAGTACTCCAAAAAGTCTCTTTTCATCATCGAATGATCCATTTATTAATTCAACAAGTACTTACCTTTTGTCAGCTAATATGTGCTAGATAACTATTCTATATACTGGAGATAGCAACAGTGAACAAAAAAGACAAAGATGTTATTCTCATGGAGCCTACTAAGAAGATGAAGGCTATAACAAATAAATATAAACATTTACATATTATAGATATAGCTATGAATATACATATGTATGTATATTTTATGTACATATACATACACGCACAGTATATATCCATGAAGAAAAGTAAAGTAGGATAAGTAGGAAATAAAGAGTGAGACAAGTATTATTCCATAGAGATTGTTCAAAACAGTCCTCTCTGAGCGAATTCCTGAAAGAAGTGAAGGATAGATGGAGCTATAATAGCTGAGGAAGAGTAGTCCAAGCAGAGGATACATTGCAGAAAGTACAGAGGCTCTGAGAAGAGATGTATGATTAAGAAAAAACAAGGAACTAGTATAACTAGAGTATAGTAAACAAGGAAGGAAATGTTAGGAGATAAGAATAGCAGAAGCCATAGTATGCTGGGCCTAATAGGAGACATCAAAGATTTTACTATAAATAAATAAATAGATTTTACTATAAGTGACATAGACGTAGTTGGAGGGTTATGAGCAGAAATTAACACAATAGAACTTACAATGTAAAAGGATCACTGTAATGTATGGAGAATAGATTGTAGTATGACAAGGGTAGAAGCAGGGAAGCCAGTTAGGAGGCTGTTCAATTTCCCAGGAAATTAATGATGTTTGTGGTTCCAACTATTATAGTAGTAATAGTGGAAATGATGAGTAATGATCAGATTCTAGGTAAGTTTCAAAGGTAGTTTAAATACACAGTGTCCCTAAAGTTCATGTGCAATTTAAAATATTAAAATATTAAATATTAAAAACAATTTTTTTGAGACAGAGTCTCACTACATCACCCTGGATAGAGTGCTGTGGTGTCACAGTTCACAGCAACCTCAAACTCCTGGGCTTAAGCTGTTCTCTTGCCTCAGCCTCCCAAGCAGCTGGGACTACAGGCACCCGCCACAGCACTTGGCTGTTTCTTCGCTGCAATTGTCATTGTTGTTTAGCAGGCCTGGGCCGGGTTCAAACCTGCCAGCTTGGGTGTATGTGGCTGGCAACCTACCCACTGAGCCACAGGCACCACCTAAATATTAAAATACTTTAAACTGCATAAGAACTTTAGGGACACCCTATATAAGACAAGAATCAAAGGTATCTCCAAAGTTTTGGCTTAATAACTACAAGAATGGAGTTGGCTGTTTACTGAGATGGGAGTTAGAAGAGAATAAGACATCATATGGTAGGATTGGAGGGTAGGGAATCAAGAGGGTTTTTTTTTTTTGTTTGTTTGTTTTGTTTTGTTTTTGGTTATTTTAGGTATGAGTTGCCTGTTATATATCCAAGTGCATGTTGGATGATTACAAGGCTGGAAATGTATATTATCTACTATCTAGAAATATTGGATGATATAAAAATCTAGAGTTTAAGGTAGAGGTTAAGATTGGAGGTATAAAGTTAATAGTTTTAGTGTATGAGTGATATTAATGCCATGGGACTAGGTCACACAAAAAAATAGCTAAATAATCCTACTTTATGACCTTTATCAGAAGAAAGAAAATTCTATAAGAAATGCTAAGGAAATTCAAGTTTAAGAACTTCATTTTGCTAGTCTACTAAGTGTCTAAAGTGTAGTATAGTGGTTGAGGACATGAACTCTAAGGCCCAGACTACCTAAGTTTGAATCCTGGCTATTCTGTTATTAGCTCTGTTATTTAGGTAAAAATGTATAAACTCCCTAAGCCTCTCTTTCTTTGTACATAAATAAGGACAGTAATGGTGCCCCACTATAAGGTCATTGTAAAGATTAATCACTTAATTTAGAACAATGCCTTGTTAGCCAATATCATCATTACATTTCACCAAGTTTTGACATAATGTAACATTGCAAGCTTGATTTAATGCTCTACCATAGCAGGCTCTATTTTGGAGGCAGAAAAAACAATTGTTCATCTACTGATCTTCATTTGGGGACATCTGAAATTAGGAGCTGTTGATACTGCTAAGTCATTACCATGTTTTGATCAGTGTTTCAGCATCATATTCTTAGTTAATTATCTTTCTGTTTAGGTCATAGTGCTGTTGATATCACCAAGGTGGCTAGAAGACACCGCATGTCTCCTTTTCCTCTGACATCTATGGACAAAGCCTTTATCACAGTCCTGGAGATGACTCCGGTGCTTGGGACAGAAATCATCAATTACCGAGGTACTGTTATTTTTCCATGGCCCTTTCTTTCTTTTCTTCATTTTTTTCCAAATAAAGCTCATAAAACATTAACACAGTTTTCCTTAAAGACAAAGATTATTAATCATAATCACAATTGTCATCATTCTTTTTGTTTCTTATTTCAACTCTACTGTAGGATCAGCCTTAACAGTATACACCATAAATCAAACACCCATAAAACTTGCTTTTCATACAAAATGGAAGAAAGTCAGCTATATTTCTGCTCTCCATCAAAATACAGATGCTCTTGACCAAAGAGAGGATTATCAACCCTGAGGAAAATATTAACTCGAAGTGTATCTCTTGTCTTTTCTGTCAGAAATGGAAAATAACAAATGTATCTTGTAATCATGTTTTCCAATTATGGGAAATATGCATTTAAATGTAAAAACTACATCAGTTTATCCATGGATTACTAAGCAGTCAGTCTGATCTCAGCTTTTCTGCTTCACCTCTCTTTTCATATTCTATTCTTAATCATGAGAACATTTTGTAGAAAAACAGTGGGAATGTAGTGTTCCCCCAGTAGTATGTTTTTGTTTCTATTCTTCTTCTTTTTTTTTTTTTTAGAGACAGAGTCTCATTTTGTCGCCCTTGGTAGAGTGCTGTGACGTCACAGCTCACAGCAACCTCCAGCTCTTGGGCATTGGTGATTCTCTTGCCTCAGCCTCCCGAATAGCAGGCTCCCACCACAACGCCTGGCTATTTTTTGTTACAGTTTGGCCAAGATCGGGTTTGAACCCCACCCTTGGTGTATGGGGCCAGTGCCCTACTCACCGAGCCACAGGCGCCACCCTCTGTTCTTATTTTAGACAAAGTCTCACTTTGTTGTCCAGGGTAGAATGCTATGGAGTCAGCCTAGCTTGCAGCAACCTCAAACTCCTGGGTTCAAACAATCCTCCTGCCTCAGCCTTCAAAGTAGTTGGGTCTACAGTCTGCTGCCACAACTTCCAGCTAATTTTCCTTTTTTAGGTAGAGATAGAGTCTCACTCTTGCTCAGGCTGATCTTGAACTCCTGAGCTCAAGGGATCCTCCCACTTCAGCTAGGATTGCTAGGATTACAGGTGTAAGCCACCATGGCCTACTCAGTAGTTTGTTTTTAATTAATTCCATTTCTTGGGGGTAGGGGGAGAGAATAAGGAACATTTCAGGAATTTATGTATCATCTTTGCACAAGGGAAAAACTTCCATTTCTAAAAATTAAGCATAGGACTTATATTTAGACATCTAGTCACAGAAGCCTTTTGAGACCAAACCAAAAAAAGAAGTTGTATTTAGTGCAGTCTGAATAAAATATAGTTTCCTAATTGCCTTTGTTATATAGAAAGAAATAACATCAGAATTTTATAAATAAAAGACTTTATTCATGGAATCACAAAATATTCAAACTATAATGAACATTGAAAACATTTATACTAACAGCCTAATTTTTCTGTAAGGAAACTCAGAGTCAGAAAAGGAGAAAAGAAATAGGATAAAGGTTTCAAGATTTAACATTCTTCTTTTACTTACTGCTCTTCTTTTATTTTTTTTTTT